TATCTCCTATCATCCTTCCTGATGACCAGGTATTTCATTACCCTAAAATGAGTGGACAGTATTAACAAAAACCAGCACATTTCAAAGCGAGAACCATAAACTACTATAGCCCCTGCAACTGGCGGTCATACTGCATTAGCAAACTTTCGACTGATCGGTCTTAATAGTGCAACAACAGTTAATAATCCATTTGGTGACAAAACTTCACGTGTCTAAAAGGTAATTTTTTACTGTGCAAGCTTGCAGAATAAGTGGTAAACATTAAGTGGTAGTGAGGGAGACGAACAGAGGACGAGTAGTCAAACAACGAATGTAGTTAAGTAGAGAAGATCAAAAAAAAGTGTATAGTTTCTTTAGTCCTAAAAACTTTAAACGCTTCCAGTTTTACTTTTCAAATTTATATTGACGTTGCAAAACGAACAGCGTGGCAAAATACTTTTAAAATATATGTAGCAATATTTTCTGTCAAATCTTTTCATTTCCTGCTTCCTTTAGCCACATTACTCTGCCCTTTAAGCAAAACCCTAACCAACTTAAAATCTCCCTTCCTTGCTAAGGCTCCAAATGAAAATTACTTACCGAAATGACTACATTTGTATGACTGTATGGCTCACTTTGTGTCAATTAAAATACTTTTTACTTGATATCACAGAACCCTTAGAAGGTATTTAGTAGAGATTAAACTTGATTTTTAGATTTGAAAAAAGACCCTAAAAAGTAAAGTTTACGCCAAGTTATGCTTCTTCAACTTTCCAAAACTCGTTAGATTTCTTTAGTGATAAGCACTCTTTTTTCAAATTGTAGCTCAGCTTGAAACTAAACAGGACCTAACACTTTCTGGTCTTTAATTTTCAATTTTTTTCTTATTCTGAACATATGTGATATTCGTTCAGATACTTTAATAAATGCAACAGAAGCAAATTTTCAAAAAATACAGAAAAAACGTCAGTTTAAGTTTTTCGAAAAGAAATGAACTCGTGCTGAATTTTCTGTCATATGAAAATATCAAAATCTAATAATACTATTTCAAACAGACCGAAAGTTATGCGCCAGCGAGTGGCAAGACACTGACATTATTCAAGTATCACTACAGTGGTCGTATACATCTTACAGTGCCGAATCATGAGCTGTCTAAGTCTGCCTGTATAAGCCAATGAGGTCCGTTAACGAAACCTAATATTTTCTAGGTCAGAAAGACATGTTTCAAAAAACTCCTAAAACAATTTGCAACACTCACAAATTAGTACTGAGTAAATTTCTAATAAATCGTTTCTACCTCATTATCTTCTGCTTTGAAAACTTTCTGCTCAGTGCCAATGCTCAATGAGATGCGTTTTTTTGCAAAAACCACTGTTTTCCTTATCAAAATAGTAATACAAATTATTTAGATTCTTCTAGTAAAAGAATTTTCTGCAGGACTTGAAGGCAATAAGGTTTGCATTTTTTGTAGTGTGCCAACAATGAAAAGATCACATGAATGTGCTCTAATTGCTCTAAGCTTTGTTATGTAGACGTGCAGGTGTGAATTTGTGAGGCGACTTAGAAGCATCTACTGCTTCAGGCAAGCCAATGCTAGACGCAGTTATTTTCTAAATCTAATATAATCTCCGCAAATTGACAGATTGTGACGTGAGGTTTCGGCACAAAAAAGGTGGTTTGGTTGTGTACTTGCTTGTTGAGTTAAAATACTGATGATTTCGATTATCAAGATGAGAATTTGAAAGTCTTCCTTAGTGCTGTAAGAAGGACTTTTTAACTTACGCTTCAAACGCCAAAACGAGAAACGCACCTCCACTGCAAAGTGAAAATCTGCTCTTAGTTTGTCCAAGAAAACACTGCTTTCTGTAACTCAGTTCTTTCTTCAATTTTCTAATACCTTATCCGGACTTTGCTAATTATCAAGAAACAAGAACTTTTGAGAGACGAACGTGAAACTAATACGAAAAGACCTATAAATAAAAAAAATAAATAAGGAAATAAACAAATATATATATATATATATATATATATAT